CCAAGTCCTGGCTCTCCAACCCCGCTCCCCATACACTTACCTTCATCTGGCTGCTGGAGCTGGTCCCACAACCCTGCCTGGCTGTGTTGGCCGTGGCCCAAACAGCCCCTTGCAGGCTGGAATGCTGCCAGCCTGCAAGAGGAAACCTGTGCTTTTGCACATTTTTCAGGCACTTGCTCACGACCCTTTGAAATATTCTTGCGACCCACTTTTGGGTCATGACCCATGGGTTGAGAAACGCTGCTTGTGAAGGAATCTCTTCTGTCTGTCCCTGTTTTGCTGTGTGTCTTGTTTGGGCTGTATGCTTTGCTTCCTCCCACCCCCAACCTTACTGGATCCAGATCCTTTGTCTTAAGTTTCCCTCCAAGGAACCCATTGGACCAGTTTTGTGACACTGGTCACTCCTCCAGGGATTGCTGATGACTGTTAAAAGGATTGGGCTCAGCAGTGTTCAGAGGATGCTTGTTTCTGGTTGAAACCAGGTGATGAGGTCAGAAAAGTTATTTAAAGGTGAGGTCCCCTAGTCTGAGGGGGCTTCCTCCAGCAGGCGTTTTGGAAACACGCACTGAAGCATGGGCCTTCAGACTTCTCTGCATGTATATGCAGGTAGCTTACCTGAAATTTAGCAAGTAAATTAGGGCTATGTATCTTTAGCTGTAGGAAAAAAAGGTCCAACAAGCCCATTCTGTTTTACTCAAGCCATTTTCTTTAATACTCCTCTGTCTTGTACCCCTCTCCCATTTCCCCCTTCTCTGGTTAATAAAAGCTATCTGTTGCAGCACACCTAGCTGTAAATGCTTGGGGGGGGGGGGACAGAGGGGCACGCCTTTTCACTCGTAGTAGAGCTCAGCTGATTATTACCTGATTCTGTCCTAATTGAAAACATCCTGGGTGGCTCCAGCCTATAAGGAGCACCCAGAAATACTACCAAGGGGTGAAGCACCCAAGGTCTGCAGGGTCTGTGTACCCCAGGCTGCACAGATCCTTAACCAAGACTAGAGCCTAGGTGGTGGCACCAGTTACCAGGTGTGCTCCAGGAAGGGGATCGGCCAGAAGCAGGTGCCCCAAGGGAGACACCCAAAACATGGTTTTGGTCAGGTACAGTGAGGAGGGTGGCTCAGTGCAGTAGCGCCCCCTACTGTTCCACCACACTGCTTAGCTGACTATTGCCAGCGTGTACTGTACCATAGACATAGACAATCTTCAAGCCTAGCAGATCTACACTTACCATAACAACAAAGACCACCATGCAGGGGCCTAGCACAGGAACTGATTATGCTTGCTTAGGAATCCCCCATGACCCCTGACTGGAATGATGCAATGTGTTTCCACTCCCGTTCTGAAGCAGACCTTGTAATGGGACCTTAACTCAACCCCCATGAAGGCAGGGAGAATTTGAGGTAGGGAATGCTAATAGTCTGTTGTCCCCCCAAGGACAGAGTAAAGGTTATGAAGCCTGTATTATATGACGGTTGTACTACTACTATTAGTCCCTCTAGGTAGAATAATATAGTGTACAGGCTTATACATAGTTTAGTCCTATTGCTTTGGTCTACAATTACCACAACACAACCTCAAAAGCAACCTTAACAAATACATAATAGGAGGTATTTTGGCATACAGATAGGATGTAAATACACACAACTAGAATAATTCATTCCTTCCTCACTGACATACAGCTGTTAGACAACCCAATGAAGTGCTACACAACAGTTTAGTACCAGCAGTTTGGGCAGAAAAAGTATACACATATATAAAATAAGATTTAGCAAGATAGAAAATAGCATTGTACAAATTAGAATTTGGCCAGTTGCAAGAGGTTGAACACCCATGTGGAAGTGTCTGGCTTTGTTGCATTCCAAAAAGCATAAGAGGGCAAGACCCCAATTTCTCTTGCACGGTAGACAAGACAAAAACATTAGGGCTTTGGATTACAGCTATAGTTCTGCAGCATGTTTACATAGACAAAAATGCATATAATCCATTTGCTAAAGTAAAGGAGAGTGCTATTTGCTGTTATAAAGCCTACTGCAGAATCTAATATCACCATTCAAAATGCTGTGAGATGCTTTATTCCTAGTTTTGCCTTTCAGATGTACCTCATGGTCTACCTACTTTTAGCATAAGTTGTTTATGTCAGTGGTGACATCTCAGTGACATCTGACCAACAGCTGCAAATTGTACCTATAATCAATGAATGGATGTCAGAGACCAGGACAGCAAATAGATAGTTCACAGACAGCTGAGAAAAGACAGATCTGCACGATTGAAGCTAAGCTCTAGAAGCCTAGCTCCATCCCCAGCCTCCTTGTACAAACAGACCACCAGCTCCCTTGAAAATACTTGTTTCTTTTTTTAACAGGTTATCCTTGCTTCTTGGCAGCCCAGGGCATTACCTCTCTTTCCATTGCTGGTGGCACTTAGTTTCCACAGCTAGGAGTAAGTAGGGCAAGAGGACACACTGAGGTCAGGTGGCATGACTCCTTCACTTCCCAGGAAATTGATTGTCCACACTCCATGAATGGTCCCTTCTTTCTGTGCAATGCCTCCTGTGACAGGATGATGCCAGAGATGTCCCTTGGTGGCTGCCTTGATCCTGTCCAACTCCCAGTCCTGCCTTCCAGGACTTCAATCTGCTTCCTTTCCTGCCATGCCTTGATGTTGATAATGGGAGGCTGCCCTTGGAGACTGATGAGCCTAGGACAGAGGTGTGCAATTATTTGGGCCTGTGGGCCACATACAGAGTTTTGCTGAGCTGTCATGGGCGAGGTAAGTACCTCCTACCCCGTGCGACGGCTCAAAAAAAAAATCACTAAGCAGCTCCATTCCATCTGCCTGGCCATATGCCCTGCCCATGCAGATCTTGGCCAGTCTCTATGGAGACCCGGGGATCACAGGATGGTAACAGCGTAGGACCAGGGACTGGGGCAGAGCTGTGATCTGCTCCTCATATGCCCCTGCCTGCAGAACCCATGCCCAAAGGGCTGTGCAGGGAGCGGATCATGGCTCTGCCCTGGCACCATCCTGTGAAACCACCTCATGATATGGGCCTTGCCCACCCCACTCCTGAATACCACTTTCTGCCCGCCTGTGGCCCCATTCTATCCACCTGGCCACACACC